CCAGTTTCCCCCACAGTCCAAACACATGTGCTATAGGGGAACTGATCAATTAAACTGGCTGTAGTGTATGAGTGTGTATGAGTGTTTTCCAGTACTGGGTTGCAGCTAGGAGGGCATCCGCTGCGTAAAACATATGCTGGAATAATTGACAGTTCATTCCGCTGTAGTGACCCCTGAAAATAAGGGACTAAGCCGAAGGAAAAAGAGTGAATGAATGACTGATTTGTTTGTCTTTGCCATAATGACAGTACATAATATTTAGCTAACTACTTAGTAACATAATATTTGACTAAATATTTGTCGAGATACTAGTATTCAGCCTCAAGTGACATTTAAAGGCTTAACTATGTTATTTTATGGTTTGTTCTGTAGCCAATGGGGGAAAGAAATCTTAAAGGGGATAATAATAGTGCACAGTAGTTATATATATATATATATAAATTAAATAACAAAATATATTTATTTATTTATTAATTTTTTTAGTGCTGGGGACGGATTAATTGCATCCAAAATAAAAGTTTGCATTGACATCATATACGTGCGTGTGTTTTATGTATTTATGATTATGTGACACACATACACACACATATAAACACAAACCTATACAAAACTCATTTTTTACATAGGTATTTAAATGTATATGTCATTTGTATCATTCATTCAATTATTCATTTTCTTTTCGGCTTTGTCCCTTTATTAATCTGGGGTCACCACAGCGGAAGAAAATTACCTAGAAGAAAAATACGATAGAAAATACTGTAAATATGCTTTTGCTATATATATATATATATATATATATATATATATATATATATATACAGTTGAAGTCAGAATTATTAGCCCCCCTTTTAATTTTTGTTCTTTTTTAAATATTTCCCACATTATGTTTAAAAGGACAAGAAACTTTCACAGTATGTCTGATAATATTTGTTCTTCTAGAGAAAGTCTTGTTTGTTTTATTTCGGCTAGAATAAAAGCAGTTTTTAATTTTTAACACCATTTTAGTGTCAATATTATTAGCCCCTTTTAAGCTAATTTTTTTTCTATAGCCTACAGAACAAACCATCATTATACAATGACTTGTCTAATTACCCTAACCTGCCTAGTTACCCTAATTCACCTAGTGAAGCCTTTAAATGTCACTTTAAGCTGTATAGAAGTGTCTTGAAGAATATCTAGTCTAATATAATTTACTGTCATCATGACAAATATAAAATAAATCAGTTATTAGAGATGAGTTATTAAAACTATTAGGATCAGAAATGTGTTGGAGAAATCTGCTCTCTGTTAAACAGAAATTGGGGAAAAAATAAACGGGGATAATAATTGAGGGGGGGGCTAATAATTCTGACTTCAATCATAAATAGACATGTTTTGTAAATAATAGAATGAAAATAACTAGTGTTGTTTTTGATATCTGTAATAATAATAATTAATAATGTCAATAATAATTTGCATATTCACTTTCAAATAATGGCTACCCTGCTGAAAAGTCCAGCTTAAACCAGCCTAGGCTGGTTTAAGCTGGACTTTTCAGCAAATAAAAAAACATCATGTGACCGTATTTTCAATTCAGAACAGCGAAATTTGAGTAAAATCCAAGGTAAGTCGAGTGTTTAACATCACTGTTATTAATATGAAGTTGTTTAACATTTCTACCAAAAAACGCTGACATATATTAAATGGTAAATCTTCCCTCAGTCTGTTTTGAGCCCAGAGCCGTTAAACCCCGCCCACTTTAATTTAATTGGTCATTTTTGAGTGATGTTGACATTGACGAGCCTTTGGAAAAGGAAGCTAGGTAGGCTAATCATCGAAAAGTAAAGTGATTCTTACAAAGAAACTTTTCACAATAACTTCAAAACAGTTTAGCATCACATATGCTTAGTATAAGCTATTAATTGATTTTAAAAGTAGAAGCTATTAATATGTAAATATCTCTAACAAAATATTATTTCAGAAGTGAATCATTTAACTCCACATCATGAAATATTCATTAGCATATTCATTATTTTAGTTATGTGGTAAGTCATTATGTTGATGCATATATTTACATTTTACAGCCGTTTAGCAGATGTTTTCTTTCAGCGTGATTTACATGAGGAGATGTTGATGAATGTTTGTTTTGATTTCTGCCGTGTGAAATGAATATATATTAATCCTCATTTTCTCTACAGCACTTTAAAACAAACAGAGTTCAACAATTTAAAACGCTTAAACACAAGTCATGATGACTTCACAATAAAGCAAAATATGAGATTGTGCTGCCATCTTGTGGATGTAATGAAGAGTCAGGCGCTTATTTATTACAGTATTTACATATTTACACACAGGGTTTGTGTACTGTAGTGACTATTTTTGACTTTTAGTACAAAAAATGCTCTTAATGTGTTTCTTTTGTGTTCAATACATGTACAGTAAACATTTTAATGAAAGTAAATATTTAATTAAACAAAATATACATTTCTTCTAATTTTGGTGAATTTTCAATAATTGATCAATGGTTTTACTCATGAATTATTTACTTAATACTGAGGCCACACTACGCTAGTGTGAGTGTGTGTGTGTGTGTATAATTAAAATGTATTATTTTTTTATTCATATTTGATTGTTGTTTTATTTTTTATTATTTTTTGTAACTTTTGTTAATTCAAAAATAGCTTTATATAATTATTTTTAACTTTTTATAAATATTTTTTCAATAATTTTATTTATTATTTATTTTTTTATATTGTATTTTTAGTTATTTCAGTGTATCAAATTGCATATTTATTTGATTATCTGATAAACAATTTAAGTATATTATTATTATTATTGTTGTTGTTGTTGTTAATGTAAAATACCCACACTTTAGATTTTGTCATTATGCCTTTAATTTTTTGTTAACTATAATTTTGACATTATAAAGTAAAATACCAAAGCAAATCCCATTGTATATTTATTTGATTTATATGTGTAAATATAGTAAATTTTACATTATATGTTTTTTCCAAATAGAGATAATAAGTCACCTGGTGAAATTGTATTCATGTCGCAATATACAGCTGAAGTCAGAGTTATTCGCCCCCTTTGAATTTTTTTATTTTTTAAATATTTCCTAAATGATGTGTAGAGCAAGGAAATTTTCACAGTATGTCTGATAATATTTGTTCTTCTGGAGAAAGTCTTATTTGTTTTATTTTGGCTAGAATAAAAGCAGTTTTAATTTTTTTTAAAAATCATTTTAAGGTTAATATTATTAGCCCCTTTAGAAAAAAAAAATTCTCGATAGTCTACAGAACAAACCATCATTATACAATAACTTGCCTAATAAACCTAACCTGCCTAGTTAACCTAGTTAAGCCTTTAAAAGACTGTTAAGACTTTAAGCTGTATAGAAGTGTCTTGAAGAATATCTAGTCTAATATTATTCACTGTCATCATGACAAAGAGGAAATTATTTTATTGATTAGAAATAAGTTATTATTAAAACGATCATGTTTATAAATCTGCCCTCCGTTAAACAGATATAGTGGAAAAAATAATCAGGGAGCTAATAATTCTGTCTTCAACTGTATATATAAACTAAGTTTACATATTCTATCATTTGATCAGTTAGCATGTTTACATTCATTGCGTATGCATAAATTAAATAAAAGCGTAAATTAGCAGTATTATTAGACACTTGTCATTAAAATAAGTCCACAGTTTGCTGCCAGACTTTGTGCTGCTGTGCACCTGAGATAGGACGATTCTAAGGGCCCATGCATTTTGGAGGCCCTAACGTTTCAGCACTGCCTACATGTGCATAATGAATTTTAAAGTCGTTTATCTGTTTTCCTGCCCTGAATCAAAAAATTAAACTTGAGCCAAAATCTCGTTTTTTTTTTTGTTTTTTTTTTCATTTTTTGAGAGCAAAAGAAAAACCGGAAAACAGCCATTTACTTAATTTTCCATCTTTGGTTTGAAATAAATGTTGTTTATTTCATTTCATTTGCAGGAAAGAGGGTTTAAAACTTGAGTTTTTTGTTTGTTATTTTGGCAAATGTCAAAAAAAAAAGACTTTACGTTATTTCTTTGGTCAATCGTCTTTGTTGTTGTGTTTTATTTTGAACAGAAAATGAGGCTCCGGGCTCTACATTAATCGGAAGGTGTCCTGTTTATTTTAATTTAATTTTATTTATTGTTACAGGTCTAGCTTGCTTTGTGGAGCCGTGCAAAGTTAGGAAATGTTACTACTACATAAAGTAATTTGTATGTTTACACACACATACACAGATGAAGTCAAAACTATTAGCCCTTATGTGAATACATTTTTTATTTTTCCAATTATTTCCCAAATGATGTTGAACAGATTCAGGAATTTTTCACAGTGTTTCCTCTAATATTTGTTCTTCTGGAGAAAGTCTTAATTATTTTATTTCGTCTAGAATAAAAGCATTTTTTAAGCCATTTTAAGGACAATATTATTCGCCCCCTTAAGCTATTTGTGTTGGATTGTCTCCAGAACAAATCACTGTTATACAATGACTTGCCTAATTATCCTAACCTGCCTAATTAACCTAGTGAAGCCTTTACATGTCACTTAAAGCTGTATAGAAGTGTCTTGAAGAATATCTAGTCTAATATTATTTACTGAGATGAGTTATTAAAACTGTTATGATTAGAAATGTGTTGAAGAAATCTTCTCTCCGTTAAACAGAAATTGGGGAAAAAATTAAACAGGCGGGCGAATAATTCAGGGGGGCGAATAATTCTGACCAACTGTAAACACAAAATAAAAATATATCGGAATGTTAGATTTTTACAGCCCTAATTGGAAACATTTATTTACTGCTGTGTTTTATTTATTTTTGTGGCGTTTAAATCCTAAATCAGTGCAATTATATAGGTATTAAAATATTACAGTAGTTTGCAGGGCTTTTAAGAGTCCAAATATGTTGTGATCTCACTGCTCACCAGATAGATACGAGACTAAGTCCTGTTTTTGTGTATTGGTTTTCTCTTTATAATAGCAGGCAGACTGGCGTATGTCACGTGACCTGCGGTGTTTGAGTGATCAGCCAATCAGAGCGCAGGTGGACAGTGAGCAGGTCTGATACTGTACTAATAAACACTCTCATCTGATGATCTGCTCTTTCTCCATCTCTACTGCACTTCAGTGACAGGTAAGCTTTTTAATTTAGAACTTCATCAAATCTGACACGCTTCAGAGGTCTGCGCTAAGTGTTGAAGAATGAAAGCAATAGTGCTGTATACATATGTGTGTGTGTGAGTATGTGTGTGTACTGTGATATATATATATATACATATATACAAATCTTAAAGGGGCTAATGATATTGATGATATATATTCTTAATTAATATTTCCCAAGTGCTGTTTAATAGACTTTTCTGAACATTATAGTGTTAATAACTCATTTCTGATTTATTTTCTCTTTGTCATGATGACAGCACATAATATTAGGCTAGATATTCTTCAAGACACTAGTATTCAGCTTAAAGTCACATTTAAAGGCTTCACTAGGGTAATTAGGCAGGTTATTGGACAACACTCTTAATAGGGGCTAATAATATTGACTGTTAAATTAATTAAAAAATAAATAAATAAAAAAAAAAATGCTTTTATTCCAGCCAAATTAAAAGAAATATATAATAGGAAATATTGTGACAATATTAGCTTTGTTAAACAGCATTTGGCAAATATTTGAAAAATAATACAAAAAATAACCATAACTATATGGGTTATTCTCACGAAACCAGTAAAACAACGTGGCACTTAAGATTTTAAATATAAAACTTAGTAATTTGTTAACAAAAAAACATTATAATAAAGACAATGCTGTTCTCTATGAAGCACAATGTGTAATTTCAACATAATTTATTTATTTCTAATCAGTTTACGGCATTTTGTACTGAAATTCTCATTACTGAAACATGTCCATGCATTTTTGAACGTGTGTTATGTTGTAATTTAAACAAATTAGCATAAAAATTTTTGAATAAAAACAAATGAATTGTTTTAATAGATTATCTTACATGACAAAACAAATAGTTTACAGAATATTCATGTATAATGACATTTAGAAAAAAATGAAAAATTAGGTCTCATCCTCCGCAACCATTTTAAAGTGCTGTTTAAACACACATAAAGAGTTGAAATAAAGTTTAATTTTGTATATAGAAGCACATGGGCCAGTTGTTTTAAGATGACGGCCAGGAAAGAAAATCTTTTATATTTCTCCAGTTTAATGTAAAATTTTCTCCTGTCAAAATGGTTACAAGACTTTTTGATTATCATTACCGAAACAGGAAGTTTTCTACATTAACATAATTGTTAGATTTGCAAATTTTTATGAAAACAAACTTTTTTAAAGTCTTAATTATATGCACTGAGAATTTTTTTTTAAAATCATCATAGCTTCCCTATTATTTGCAAAAAATATTGAGGCACCTCATTCTCCGCAACTCTTTTCTCATATACCGCAACCATTTAGGGACAGTTGCGGTAGAGAGAACATGTGTTTCGGGAATGAGAATTTAAGTAAAACTGCATACTAAATTCAAATAACTCTTTTGAATTTAATGTTAATTTAAAAATGTACCAACTGTTTATATTTTGCTTTGATTTGTTTCATTTTAAACAGTCAGCAATGAAAAAAATGAAGTCTTTAGCAAAAGCCAGGTTGGAAAAAATTGTACAGCAACCCAGAACTACTTGAGGAGTATAGAAGGAAAGAAAGAGAGAGGTGAGATTTGGAGATGGCATAGCAGGTGTAATTACTAAAAGAAACACTCAATAGTGTTAGGAAATCTAATCATTTAGGTTAATAATTTAGTTTTGATCTGCACACACGCAGTGTACAAATGCGCATACACGCACACAAATATATTTTTTCTTATAGTTTGAACCTGTAGGATTTAGTTATAAATAAATACTTAATAATACTTATTTAAATAAATAATTAATATAATATATCTAAAAGGGTGTAAATGTTCCCCCAGAAACACCCCTCAGATGTCAGATTACAGTACGCTTTTGAAAAATGAATGAATGATAATGATAATGCATCACGTGTGTATATATATATATATATGTATGTGTGTGTGTGTGTGTGTGTAGGAGTCAAATGTGTGTGTGTTTTCTGTGTTCTCCATCATATCGCTGTGGATCAATGCCTGTCAGTCCTGATTATCTGCTTGTTCTGAGGTCTGAATCGTCTGCTGTGAAGGACATCCATCAGTGTACAGTGTTCATTACTGTACTACAGGACGCTCTTCATCTTACAGCACTGACTAAAGCACTGCGCAATTAGCAGGACAAACTAAAACTGTTGGAATAATGCAGTAAAGTAAATATAGTCATTTATAGGGTGATTTTGAAGCATGCTAAAGTGTATTAAGCTGAATGTATTATATATACAACTCTTGGATAATGAATGCTCCAGCATACTGTACTAATAATACTATAGTGAACTAATCAACTGTAATAAATACTGTAGTATACTTTAGATTTTACTACAGTAAACTGTGGTGTATTATAACATAATAGCAGCGATAGTCACCACAGCACATGAATTACTATAGTTGTCGTGTTACCATAGCAACGATAGAATCATTACAACAGATCAATTACTACAGTTGTTTTTACCATAGCGACGATAGAATCACCCCAATAGATTAATTACTATAGTTGTTGTTACCATAGCAACTGTAGAATCACTCCAATAGATCAATTACTATAGTTGTTGTTACCATAGCAACGATAGAATCACCCCAATAGATCAATTACTATAGTTGTCATGTTACTATAGCAACGATAGAATCATTACAACAGATCAATTGCTATAGTTGTTGTGTTACCATAGCAACGATAGAATCACCACAATAGATCAATTACTATACTTGTTGTGTTACCATAGCAACGACAGAATCACCACAATAGATCAATTACTATAGTTGTTGTGTTACCATAGCAACGATAGAATCACCACAATAGATCAATTACTATAGTTGTTGTGTTACCATAGCAACTGTAGAATCACCACAATAGATCAATTACTATACTTGTTGTGTTACCATAGCAACGGCAGAATCACCACAATAGATCAATTACTATAGTTGTTGTGTTACCATAGCAACGATAGAATCACCACAATAGATCAATTACTATAGTTGTTGTGTTACCATAGCAACGACAGAATCACCACAATAGATCAATTACTATACTTGTTGTGTTACCATAGCAACGACAGAATCACCACAATAGATCAATTACTATAGTTGTCATGTTACTATAGCAACGATAGAATCATTACAACAGATCAATTGCTATAGTTGTTGTGTTACCATAGCAACGATAGAATCACCACAATAGATCAATTACTATACTTGTTGTGTTACCATAGCAACGACAGAATCACCACAATAGATCAATTACTATAGTTGTTGTGTTACCATAGCAACGATAGAATCACCACAATAGATCAATTACTATAGTTGTTGTGTTACCATAGCAACTGTAGAATCACCACAATAGATCAATTACTATACTTGTTGTGTTACCATAGCAACGACAGAATCACCACAATAGATCAATTACTATAGTTGTTGTGTTACCATAGCAACGTTCGAGGTTACTAAAGTAACCCTTCGTTCCCCGAGGAGGGGAACGGAAGCACTATAAGTGGATTTGATTGTAAAATCCACGCATTGGGAGGTTCGGTTCAGAAGCTACTCGTCTGAAAGAGTATTGAACGGGCCAATTAAGAATGAATTGGCAGCGCAAGCCTGCGCAGGTGAGCGGCATAAGCAATCAACTGAGTATATAAGCTCACCTGGCGCAGCAGACGCTATCCTTTTTAAGCTGAAGAGACTTTCAACAGCTAAGGGACAGTCATTATGGCGACGGAGTATAGTGCTTCCGTTCCCCTCCTCGGGGAACGAAGGGTTACTTTAGTAACCTCGAACGTTCCCCTTCGGGGGGAACTTCAGCACTATAAGTGGATTTGATTGTAAAATCCACGCATTGGGAGCCCATTGAAAGCGCCATAATGACTGCACCTTACCAACACCCCCGATGAGGAGATAGTCAAGCAAGCGTGACGCACCCACATCATGGGGGGCGCGGTCCTCCAACGTGTCCCTGGCCCTAATTTATCCTACTTCAACAGAAGTTTTACGGATTTATATATATTTTTTGGGAAGTCGTGAGCATCTAGATAATTCTAGGAAAATACGACAGTACGTTGGGAAGCGTGCAATCCCGATAGGGAGGACGCTGCGGAGGCCATCCGTTACCCAAGGGGGGATAGATGGCAGAATTTACATATGGACTAGCCCTAAAAAGGGGGAGTACGCATAGCAAAAGAGTGGTTAGCGGGGAGGGAAGACACGGGTCCGCCCAGGGGGGGGGGACTTAACCGTGGCTGAATAAGCATATGGGATCGCCTAGTGGGGACCACGCATAGCAGGCACCTTTACCCAAAACGCGGGCTGACCAGCGGGCAGACCTACAACGTAGTGGGCCAGCAAGTGACTCCTCCGCTGAGTCAGTGCTGGGGGCCACGGAGGAATCTGCAGGGCTCACCTGACGGGGAACTTTACTGACAGATAAAAAGGCGCACGTATCTCCGTGTTAGGGAAAATGGCGCAGCAAGCGTGTTTCAACACCCTACCGAATTGTTTCCTCAATCACCAAGGGTTACCTAATACCCTTGAGGAAACCGGCTCCACTCGCAGATTGTAAAACCTTGCAAATGTGTTGGGTGTCACCCAGCCCGCAGCTCTACAGATGTCTGTTAGAGGGGCGCCGCGTGCGCGCGCTCGAGAGGATGCGAAGCTCCGAGTGGAGTGCGCACGCGCTCTCGGGGGACGCGGCTCATCTCGGCTCTGATAGTGAAAGAAAGGCATCCACAATCTAGTGGGAACTTATTTCGGTACGGCACTTCCCTGCTGCCGACCGCTATAACAGACGAAGAGCTGCTCAGATGATCTAAACTCTGAGTGCGGTCCGGATAATACGCAAAACGCGAACTGGACAATAAATAAGGGCTGGGTCTGCCTCCTCCGAGGGCAGCGCTTGCAGGCTCACTACCTCGTATTAAAACGGAGTGGTAGGAACCTTGGGCACATATCGCGGGCGGGGTCTCATACGTGAGAGAAGCCA